TTAAGCGTAATGTTAAGTGATATTCTACAGTAAGATGTCAATGCTCAATTTACTATCGTACCCTTGATTGAAACCTAAATCCGATAAAGATATGGAAGATACCGATTTCTCACTCGAAAAATGTTAAATTCTTATAATTTCTCCGTTGTTTCTTTTAAGCGAAATGCACAAGTAACTTTTGCAGAGAAACCGCAAATGAAATTATACAGTTTAAAAAAACATGAAGGTTCACTCCCCTTGGCAACAAATTCTTTTACAAACTAAATTGCTGTTTGGAAACACATTTCTAACAAAAATGGCAATGCAATCAATGGTACAGTCGATAATATATTTTTGTAGATTTCTTCAAATTTGTTCAAATGTTGTCATTGCAATTCCAGGAAATATATGGGAAACGTTTGGATAAGCATATAATTTTAAAGCATAATTATTGCAATGTCTTTCGTCCGCGTCATTTAATAGTTTCAACTCCAGAAAATATCCAACCTCCTGTTTTTTGAAAAACGAGCTGTCGGCCTCATATAGCAAATAAGAACTCAAAACGATTTGTAGGTATCAAATGAATCTTGATATTTTATTTTTTAATCATGCACTCTCAGTTCAACTATGCTATACATGCCAGCTACTCCCTTTAAAGAGAATATAGACTTAATCTCCAGTGACCATTTGTTTATAGGGAAGCCATATTAAACGAATTCAACAGTAACATTAAAAGTCCATTAAAAGTGAAAATTTCAAATAAATTTGTTCGCATAAACCCGTATAAAGATTGATACCATTTCTGAGCCCCCTTATATAAACCTTTTTGTGAGGGGGTACATCTAAACTCTAGATGAAAAATATTACGGAACCCCCCCCCCCCCCTCCAATCATGAATCATATCACAATTAAGTCGTGACTTGAATTTTCATTACAAACAACCCACTTGCACAGTTGAGTCATTTTTTCTAGCAAAACTAGAAAATCCAAATATTCTGACCTTCTTGTTGCTGGAACTATAGTTTTCAGGGAACTCATTACAGAATACATTCCAAGGGTTGGAATTAATAAAAGGAATCGATCTGCCGTATTTCATCTTTATTAATGTCTGGCATATCTGTCTGTCTGTCCGTCCGTGTTACAGTCTATCTATCTGTCTATCTGTCTATCTGTCTATCTGTCTATCTGTCTATCTGTCTATCTGTCTATCTGTCTATTTATCTGTCTGTCTGGCACGAAGTGTCAACTAAGCCTTGTTTAAGATATAAAGGTAAAAAAAAGGCGATAAGTCATATAAAATGCTTTAGGGAAGTATATAGCAGATGTCTTTTTTCCCACAGCTAATCTGCAATAATTATTGCGGAGATTTCAGTTCTGAAATATTGCCTTATTCAGTTCTATGTACATAAAGAAGTTCTTTCCACTAATCCGGTTTTTTAATCCCTATTTCTTTGCAATCCAATGTGGTAGACCTTTTATATTTCAAATTATTAATTAGGCGGTAGCCCTGGCTAATAATTGTTTAGTAAAAAATTATAAAATGTAAAATGTATTTATTATAATGTTAGCCGAAATATATATCTATCTATCTATCTATCTAAATAATTATGTGAGATCAAAAACTCAAAAAGTCTAAGTTAGTTAAATATAAAAGTTTTACACCATCGGGTTGCAAAGATAGAGGGATTGGAAATTTTGAGTTTGTGGCAAGATCTCAATTCCTGCTTACTTCAAATGAAAATGTAATTTTATTGAAATACATCCTGCATAGGCTCTAAGTCTGAATTTTTTCTGAATATTTCTAATTAAAAGAAAGAAAGTTGTCACTACCATGCAATTACAAAATTCAGCGCAATATTTCTAATCAAAAGAAAGAAAGTTGTCATTACCGTGCAATTACAAAATCGAGCAATATTTTTAATTAAAAGAGAGAAAGTTGTCACTACCGTGCAATTACAAAATCCTGAGCAATATTTCTAATTAAAAGAAAGAAAGTTGTCACTACCGTGCAATTACAAAATCCTGAACAATATTTCTAATTAAAAGAAAGAAAGTTGTCACTACCGTGCAATTACAAAATTACTATTTAAACTATAAGAATAAAACAGTACAAAGAGACCATGCAACTGTGGACTAGGAAGAATACATTTAAGTACAATTTGATTTCTTTTATTAAGCAAATGGTTTGACCCTAGCTTGGAAATGAACTGCTTAATTAGTAAATCTGAAGTCTTTCTTGCACAGTCGTTAGTGTCAAACCAACAATGAAATACAAAATAAATAATTAATGACTTTTTGGAACTGAAATCCTCCAGTTTTCCAAGAACATAAAAACCTGTAACCAGTGTTCCATTAAAGTCAGGTAGTGCTGACCTAGAGGTCAGCAAAGTGTGCGCGCCGAGCCATTGCCTAGCCCCAGGCGCTCGGAAATTCCAGATACGCGTGTGGCATGGTAGCCCCAACCTAGTTCATGGCATGTCATGCAAAACTATGAATGCTCGCATGGAATTTGGTTCGAAAAAAATATAATTTAAAAACTCAAGATATTCGGTTATTGGAAAATAATAATTTTTTAAATTTATGTATAGAAAATTGTGAGGAATATTTACTTTTGTCTACGAGACTTATCAGTTTCCGGTCGCACGGTAGGGGGGGGGGAGACCAGGGGAGACCTATTTACGATCGAGGGCAAGAGGCACCCCAACTTCGCGCTCCACTGCACTTCCAAAGAAAAAGGAAGAAATTATTAAGGAAAATTTTACTTCTTTTATCAATTCCCAGTTTAATTACAATAACAGTTGTGATAAAAAACCAAAGAATTCTTTTTAGAATTATTTAAAATTTTTCTCCCCTGCAACCCATGATATATCCTGTCTGTGTGTGATCTAGGTGGTTTCCAACTAGAGTTACGTTTATTCATTTTCGACGATGATTGCAACAACACGATTTGAAAGATTAAGAATATTAGGGCCATGCCGAAACGATTTTAGCAAAATTAGTATATTGCGAAACAATTTTAGCAAAATTATTGTATGCCGAAACAATGTTTAGCAAAAAGTGTGAAAAAGTGTATTTTTAGGCACAATTAAAGGATTTTTTAATCGTTTGCAAAATAAATGGAACATATTTTGTGTGAGATTTTTCTTTCTCTTGTTTACATTTCGAAATGTCACAGACTGTAAAATTTCGATTCAACTCTAGGTTTAGGAAGGGGTCAGAGTGATTACGGTGTAAGGAGGGGGGGGGGGGGTGTTTCCCACCAATTATTTTGGATGCATGATCCTAGAGAAAATGAAGAAAATTTTAATTGAGCGGAAATTGTAAACATTAGTTTCAGGCCATCTTGTATATTTACACTGATTAAACATATGTGTTTTCAGTCTAAAAATAAACAAAGACTTTTGATTAGAATTGTGAAAGGAATGATATTTCAAAGCAATCCCTTTATTTGATAATGGTCATCTTTAAACCTTTATTGAATCGACGATGCGGCGAATATAGTCGTTTATAAAAATCTTACTAAAAAGAACAGATTTAAACCAAAACCTTTTGTGCATTTATGCGTTATTCCAGTTTTTTTTTTGAATATTTTTCTTAATTTTCCTCTTTTTAAAAAAATTATTTATGTATATAAAGTTGTAATCTCTGATTGTCTGATTGTTTCTTTGTCCGGTCATTTAACTCGGGAACCCTTGGACCGATTTGCCTCAAATTTTGATTGGGGAACTCGGGAGACCCACGGGAATGTTCTTAGCTTGGTTTTGAGATTTTACATTGAATGGGTCGGCGAAAATTTAGTTTGCCGTTTAAATAACCAAGTGCGGGTAAATGGCGGGAGTAACTATGAGTACCCTGGACAAGGCTGGGTTCCCAATAAAAGAAGTAAGAAACTAATCTATTACATTTTAAGATAAGGTTTAAGTGACCTACTATTTTAAGATAAGATTTAAGTGACCTATTAATTTAAGATGGACATTTTCGATTCACAATGATACTTTTTAACCACATAAGTTGCATTTTAAGAATGCAAGACAGCTAGAATTAACTTCTTTAATAAATGTATCAGATTCGTGTTATAGTGCTTTTACTTTACTGTAAATGATAAGGAAAAAGTGAAAATAGTAAGAATGCATTAATTAAATACATTTGCATAACTTCTGATTTTACTTCACAAATAGTTTAACTCAGAACTATAAAGAATTTTTTTTCAAAGTCGTCTAAATCTCATTGATTCTAAAAATGATAATATGTAGATAGCCATGAAATATGCGGGAATAGTTTAAAGAGCTCCATATAATTATTTAATTAATAAAACTAAGTATCTCAATCTGCAGCATTTCATTGTAGGTTTAATAAATGACATTCTACAAATTCTGTCGATGTCTCAGAAATTCTGAATTAAACTGTATGATTTTCTCCACTTCAATAATCATGAAACACTTTTATAGAAAATTTATTAATTCAGGAAGTTAGAGAATACACAATTTTAATAAGAACAACAAGGATCGAAGTAAATAAACAAAATAAAAACAACTGAAATTATTTTAAAATTTCGAAACGAAATTACTTAAATTATTCGTCAAAAAGACGTGCACAATTAAATCTTATGCCTTACATACTTTTGTTTAACATAGAACTTACATTCTTACATTAAAACTAGAATTGTTTAAAACCAATCTTAACTACTGCAGTCTTATTTAAATCTTAATTTTACGTTAAAAATAATTTTCATGTTGCTTATATATTTTCATGGGGTTTTATATATTTACTTCAAGAGAATTTACGTATTTTCAGGAGATCTTGCATATTTAAGGAGATCTTACATATTTCAGGAGATCTTACATATTTAAGGAGATCTTACATATTTCAGGAGATCTTACATACTTCAGGAGATCTTACATATTTTCAGGAGATCTTACATATTTTCAAGAGATCTTACATATATAATTGAGATCTTACATATTTTTAAGAGATCTTACATATATAAGGAGATCTTACATATTTTTAGGAGATCTTACATATTTCAGATAGGTTTTTATATATTTACTTCAAGAGAATTTACGTATTTTGAGGAGATCTTACATATGTTCAGGGGATTTTACACATTTTCTTAACTTACATATTTCTGAGATGCTTTACATAACTTTCGATGATTCTTAACTTACATACATTACTTTCATAAATCTTACATACTTTCAAATGAATTTAATTTTTAGGTTTCTCGCATGTTTATGAGATGTCTTACATAATTTAGGTTGATTTTACATAATTTCATGAGATTTTACATAATTTAGGTTGATTTTACATAATTTCACGAAATCTTAGATAGTTTCAAATGGTTGCTTAAATTGAATTTTAATAGATCTTGCACACAGAGATAATATTTTGCTTTATTTAAGGTAATCTTACTCGGATAAAATGTAGGATGTTAGGAAGATAGGTAGCTAGACAGGAAGACAGGAAGATTATTAGCTAAGCAGGAAGCCAGGAACACAGTAGCTATGCAGGAAGCGGTAGGTATACAGGTAGTTAGGTAGGAAGGAAGGTAGGATGACAAGAAGTTGGTAGTTAGGCGGAAGGCAGGAAAAATTGGTAGCTATGCAGAAAGGCGGGAATATGGGTAGCTATGCAAGAAGGCGGGAATATGGGTAGCTATGCAGGAAGGCAGGAAGGTGGGAATATGGGTAGCTTTGCAGGAAGGCAGGAAGATGGGTAGCTATGCAGGAAGGCAGCAAAATGGGTAGCAATGCAGGAAGGCAGGAAGATTATTAGGTAAGCAGGAAGATGGGAATATGGGTAGCTATGCAGGAAGGCAGGAAGATTATTAGCTAAGCAGGAAGGTATGAATATGGGTAGCTATGCAGGAAGGAAGGAAAATGTTTATCTATGTAGAAAGGAAGGCAGATTAATGGCAATGCGGGAAGGCAGGAATATGGGTAGCTGTGCAGGAAGGCAGGAAGATGGTAATCTATGCAGAAAGGTACGAAGACAGGAAGCTAGTTTCTATTCGTTTGCATTTAACCTTTTATAAATCCTTGTACTTTTAATATCAGGTACTCCCTCGATAGTTAAAGTTAGAACCATTGTCTCTCCGTTGTCGATAAATTCACGAACCTAAACTTAAAACATCAATTTTAATATTTTCTTTATAATTTATAATTTTTTTATTTTTGAAACAATACTTTCATGAATTATTTTTTATTATAATAGTTTTGTAATTAGATCATCGGTCTTCTTGGTATTGCAATTAATGTTATTATTGTTATAGATATTAGGATATTTTATAATTATTTGTACAATTGTTTTATTTTTAAATTATAATGTTGTTTTTCTAATAAATGATGTTGTCATTGCAATGGTCATTAAAAATGTCGCCATTCTTATTGTTTGGAATAACGTTGGTTTTTATATTAACAATGCACTCAAATATAGACAACTCTGAATAAGTCATCAAATTTTTAAACAGCCGCGATTTTAAAATGTAGGCGTAGGCCTTTGGTTTGTAGCCATGCATTTAAAATATCCAATGCGCTTAAGTTTAAAAGGAGTAATTGGCAAAATCAAATAGATTATCAAGTACAACAGGTGACAACAGAGAAATAGACAAATTGTATTTGACGTCAAAAGTGTCAAATATAACAAGGAAGACAACAGTTGACATGTTTTCTAAGATTAAATAAAAAGTGGAAAACCCGAAAATATAGAACGCAAAATTGCATTTATTTCACTGTAAAATAAGCGCTTTATTATCAATATTATTAATAATTTTGTCGGACACATGAAACTGTTGACACTTATGATGTAAGAATACAGCCGTACTGAGAGTGTACAAGTTCTACGTTGCCATCTATTGTACTTGATAATCTATTTGGGCAAAATACTGCTTAATGTTTTGTGTGAGAGTGTGAACATATATTGGTTTGCATTTTAATGATTTTAATGTTCTGTACAAAGTTGCTATTGGTGTAAGTAATGTTGTTCAAGTTGTTAAAAAATGGTGTTATTAAAATTTTTGTTTGCTGTTATTATAACCTCGTATGTAGTTTTATATCCGGTTGATGGTTCAGGAACTTGTTTTTTGATCAGTTTTGGTGACTCAGGGTCTTCTAAATCCACAGTCGTAGTAGTTGTAGTGTATCTGAACAAAATCGACGTACTTAAAATGGAAGTTTCAAATTATCTCAGTAAAAAAAGAAAAAAAACTAACAGAAAACTCCATTTATCATGACAATAAAGAGAAGGCTTGAAGCTAGTCTGAGTTCTTTAAAAGCTATATGTTGTAAACCAGTGTGTTAAAAAGTGTTAAAACTTAAGAATTGGCAAGGGGTTATGCATCACGGAATGTAAAGCTTTTATGCAAAGACGACCTAAGCTCAACCAATTTTTAATCATAATGTTTATAGTGTAGGTCACACACACTTTAATCCAATTGTAAAAAAATACGTTATATCATTTGACTAGAATATTTCCTACAGAGTTTCTAAAGTTTAGACATAGAACGAGGAATAAATTCACGTCCTGATGGATAGCACACTGTTTAGCATGAAAATTTAAAAAAGGCTAAAACTTTACAAATAAAACAGAATGGCGTGACAAATAACACTACATTCATATACATTATACAGAAAAGAACAAATAAATTAATATTTTTTACAACATTTTCCTTCCCCCCCCCCCTTGATTTCGTGACTGTGCCTGCCTATCGGATTGTTAATCGGATTTCTTTAGTTTTTTTTATCAAACTTTACAATAATTTTATACTAAGTAAAAATAAAAAGGAAAAACTATCGTTTATAATTAGTTTTTTGCGTTTTTTATCTCAGGGTCAAAAAGTGTAAAGTGATAACCAGAAAACTCTGGTATAGAAAGTCGACCTTTTAGACTCAAGTTATGACTTTAAATAGTCCCATGAACATGAGACACAACAATTGTGCAGTGTAAACAGACTCATTTCACTTAATAAGTGGTTTAATAACTTACTTGTAAAGCTATTTGCTTTATAACAGCATAAAATGCACTTCAGCCATACTTTAATGTCGTCTTCCTATTCTACAGTTTTGTGGTTATCACTTTAAGAAAAGCAAATGTTTGCAAACATTTTGAAATTTGTAAAACTATTCAAATTATTTTTGGAACCTTTATAACAACCTCAAAAACAAATCAACTTATTTGATATGACTACCTGCCGTCAGCGGTATACTCCTCCCAGGGCTCCCCCAGCTTAAACTTGGTGTATGTGTTCTTAAAGGTGGAGATCGTATCCACAGAGATCTCTCCGTCATCCTTCTCGGCGATGACCAGTTTAGGATAGATCGTGCAGGCGATCTAAACAGTTTTTTTGGATTTGGAATTTATTAAAATCAAAACTGAATTTTCATTTTCATGTCATTTAAATGATGAAATTTAATTTGAACTTTGATCCCGATTTCTAAAAAAAAAATTTAGAAAACTTTACGAACATGGAATTTAAACGTATCAAGACTGATGAAATAAGAAAACACAAAATGAAACCTTTAAGTTGAGTTTAATTTTATATAAAAAACAACGTTAATAACAATTTAAAAATGATCTTACGTTTCTTTTAAACCAGTCGACTCCCAGCTCGTACATGAAGTCAGTAAACCCCTCACTGCTCTCCAGCTACAATATAATAAACATTTGAAATCAAGATCAGGGTATAAAAGCAAAATCAATATATACAAACAACATTAAGGTTTTAAATCAAGATAAAGGTATAAAACAAAGATCATGGAGTAAGTCCAAGACCAAGATTATGATTTGAAACCAAGATCAAGGTTTAAATCAAGATCAAGATATATAAACAACATTAAGGGTTGAAACCAAAATAAAGGTATACAACAAAGATCATGGAGTAAGATTAAGACCAAGATTATGATTTATAACTCCGATCAAGGTTTAAAACCAAGATCAAGATACAACACCAAGAATAAAGATCAAGGTATAAATCAAAATCAAGATAAATATATAAGGTATAAATCCAAGAATCAAGGTTAAAAACCAAGATCATGAATCAACAGCAAGAATTTAGGTTATCAAAATAATGGATCAAGGTTAAAAACTAAGATCAGGGATCAGTATAAAGGATCAAGGTTTAAAACCAAGATCAGGGATCAACATCAAGGATCAATGCTAAAAACCAAGACCTTAAATCAACATCAATGACCAAGGTTAAGAGCAAAGATAAAGGATCAATCAATGGATCAAGGTTTATAACTAAATTAGGGAACAGCATCAAAGATCAAGGTTTAAAAAAGGCGAAAAATAGATAACCTTGAATTCTCCGATCATTGCTTCCGGCAGCTGCTTAGCGCCCAGGACAGGGGCGACACAGAATAGAATTGCAATCTAAAAAAAATATTAAAATAATTTAATATTCCCTGATTTCAACGGTGATTAGTTACAACTTTTGAAAGATATAGCTTTAGTATAGTTATTCATTATTCGACTGTTATGATAAATAAAAAACTTTATAAAACAGTTTCAAAATTTAAAAAAAACATTGGCATTTTATCGTTGACATAAAAAATTAAAGTGAATATAAGAATATTATAGCTGGCATCTCAGATTCACAATACAGATTCTTCGTTATTATAACTAAAGTGAAAGTTTAAATTGCATCTTGAAATAATATCAGTAGTTACTTTATACAATTATAAATAAAATGAATTGTGAAATTTATAAAAATAAAAATAAAATGAATGGTGAAATTTATACAACAATAAATGATATGAATGGTAAAGTTTATAAAAATAAAAATATTTAATTTACCCAGTTCTTCATGTTTTCTTGAAGGTTTAATCAGGAGTAAACAAATCTGCACCTAGTCCCTTGAACATGAACATGACCCCCCCCCCCCTCCGTAAAGTCAGGGTGTCCTAAATATTAAAAATAATCATCAAACAAACTTTTAAAATTGTGCCTGTTAACTTCTTGAAAAAAACATCTTAACAAATTTTTAAAAATTTAAGAGTTTTTAACTTTTTACTTTACTTACCCCCTTCTAACTTTTTGACCCATTGATGACCCCTTTGGTCAATGAACTTTAGGGCCTCCTATCCGCCCCCAGGGAGTCCTTTAAACCCTCTCCCTCCCCTTCACCTGTATANCCTTCTTATCTTAACTCTTTTCTAGTCCCACCTCCTCACTGTGCTTGTATTACCCCCCTCCCTCCCCCCTCCCTTAGCAACTAAAATTTACGTTTCCTAGTTTCTAAACCCTACGATCATTAAAAGGTGAATGATTTTAAATTGACCTTTGTATTGAGATACTCTTGAATCACCCTGATAATTCATTTGGATACTTTTTGTAGCGCAATGGAAAATCTTTTTGATACTTTTACATCACTTTGTTATTAATTAGCATTGTATCACCCTGCGGTTTAAAGGAATATTTTGTATCATCCTGTGGTGAAGTTTAATGTTTTCAAATCACCCTGTAATTCATTAGGATAATTTTGTATCACACTGTGTTTTAGTAAGATGTTTTTTATCACCCCGTGTTCAAAGTAAGATGTTTTTGCATCATCCTGTGTTTTAGCAAGATGCTTTTGTATAACCTTGTGTTCAAAGTAAGATGCTTTTGTATCACCCTGTGCTTTAGTAAGATACTTTTGTATCACCCTGTGTTTTAGTAAGATACTTTTGTATCACCCTGTGTTTTAGTAAGATACTTTTGTATCACCCTGTATTTATTAAGATGCTTTTGTATTACCCTGTGTTTTAGTAAGATGCTTTTGTATCACCCTGTGTTTTAGTAATATGCTTTTGTAACACCCTATGTTTTATTAAGATGCTTTTGTATCACCCTGTGTTTAGTAAGATACTTTTGTATCATCCTGTGTTTAGTAAGATGCTTTTGTATCACCCTGTGTTTTAGTAAGATACTTTTGTATCACCCTGTGTTTTAGTAAGATACTTTTGTATCACCCTGTGTTTTAGTAAGATACTTTTGTATCACCCTGTGCTTTAGCATGATAATTTTGTATCACCCTGTGTTTTAATAGGATGCTTTTGTATCACCCTGTGTTTCAGTAAGATACTTTTGTATCACCCTGTGTTTTAGTAAGATACTTTTGTATCACCCTGTGTTTCAGTAAGATACTTTTGAATCACCCTGTGTTTTGGCAAGATGCTTTTGTATCTCCCTGTGTTTAAGTAAGATACTTTTGTATCACCCTGTGCTTTAGTAGGATGATTTTGTATCACCCTATGTTTAGTATGATGCTTTGTACTGTTGTAGGTGATAATATCAATACAATGTAGGCGACGTGTTCGATTTCAATTTTGATTTATATCAATCTGTTAAACAGCATCTCATTTTGAAAATTACATTACAATGTGTTATAAACCGAATTGCTAATCATGTAAAACTAATTAGATATGTTTTAATATGCTTTGATATTTGTTGTGTATATGTCAGAAAATTACTTTAAACTCTAGTTATTCTAATCAATGTATAAACTATTTTGCATAAGATAAAATTGCACCCTGATCTCTAATAGTTCTCCTTAAATCTATTTAATTGAAATGTGTTGTTATCATTATTGAAATTAGCTATTTTCCACCTAATTGCTTTATACTTGTACTGTTATTATGATCATCAATTTGTAATTGTAAACTCGTTCTGTACACAGATACATGTATTTTAGCAATAAACATTATCTTTCTATCTATCTACCCATAATCGTGGAAACAAAGAGAAGCTTTCAATTAAAAAAACTTCTTTTTTAATACTTGTAAAACTGTAATTTCGAAAAAAAAATCAAATAAAATAGTCGCCTTCATTGTATTGACATAATTGCCTACCCCTGTATTACCAGCTCTGTTCATAGAAAGATTAATTTTCAGCACCCTGTATTGTAGTAGGATGCTTTGTATGTAGAGTCACAAAACAGGAATTGGGTCCGTCCTAGACTACGATAAAAATTATAAAATGTTTTCTTCAATCTCATTCTCAACAGATTTTTTAAAAAAGAGAAGCAAATCTCATTAATACATCTTTAAATGTAATTGATGTTGTTATAAAGCAAAAGGTGATGCAAATTATAAATCAACTTATTTTCAGTAAAGTTGGCTCGTGCAGATTACACAATTTCTGCATTTTTATCCTCATTGGACTTTTCAATTTCATAAACTAAAATTAAATCGTCATTGTATTCCATAGTTTTATGTAAAAGCTCTGTTATATTTATTCTCTCTGAGCTAGGCACTGCTCATGACATCTCTGTGATATTTCATCTTCTCTGAACTGGGGTTTCTCCATAGTTCAAATATTTCTTACTATCTTGAGAACCCAGCGCGGCCAAGGTTACTTAACCCTAGTCTTGCTGACCCCCCCCTGTAGTTTTTTATACATAACTCAATGAGTATTGGTCTGAGGCTGTTGAAATTTTCTGACTTTTCCTAAATACTGAAAGCCCTCCCTTTTGGCCCTAAAACCGGGCTTTTATACTAAATGCCTTTTCCCGTAACAAACTAAATCTTTGTTTTGGCCCACTTTCAGTTGTCAGATTTTGATAACCCTTAGCTTTTTGGATAGACACAAGGAAACGGATTTTTAAAAATGTATATTTTAAAAATTTTTGGACAATTTTTTTGCAAAAATTTTTCTTTATAACTGGTTTTTGCAAAAAAATTTAAATTTTTGGCAAATTTGCAATAATTTTTGCAGATTCGTAAATTATTAAATCAAATCAAATCATTTATTAGGCCACAAGTTAGCAGACATAAATTAATTAAGTAATTAACAATTATATATATTGTGGCCGGGGAGCTACAACATAGCTCAGGCTGTTTACACAAGAGCTCCCCGGGTCCAGTTTATGATTAGATTCAACCGATGGCGGAGTGAAATGGCGGTGGCGGTTGGAGAACAGGAGGCGGAGACACAGCGTCAATCTAATCAGTCAGAAATACAAAAAGTTTTGGGCTCAATAATGTAAAAGATTGTTCTTGATTAAGAAATATTATTACTACATGTTATTCTAATCAAGATAAGAGATCAAGAATAAGCTGAATATTTCTTCAGACAAGGATACTCGATATATGTATTAAAAAAGCATGAAAAAATATGAACAGATCATATTTAAAATCTTGAAACCCCCAACCAAATCTAAAAAATTAAAGTTGAACATGTATAGAAAAATAGCCAGTTCCATTCAAAGTTCGAAAATCTATCCAGAAAATGTTGCTTAAGTTGATATTTAAATTCATTTTTAATTAGCAATACAAGACAAAGCAGGGTCAAGTTCATTCCAACCGGAAGTGAAATAATACAAAGGAAATCTGTTTATAAATAAATTTTTACATCTAGGAACAAAAAATTGATCTCGATTTCTGAAGGGGTATTGATGCATCTCAACTAAAAACTATGGAGTGCATGAACGAAAGTTTTTGATGAAGAATAAGGTCCGGGAAAGGGAGTATTTTTAATTCATAAACTAGAGGTTCAGAATGAGCATTATATCTAGATTTAGCAATTGTTCTAATACATTTTTTAGTTTGAACGATTTTACCGAGAAACTAAATTTTCGTCGATCCACTTTATATAGAATCTTAATACCAAGCTAAAAACATTCCCGTGAGTCTCCCTATTTTCCCAAAATTTGAGGCATATCGGTCCTTGGGTTCCCGAGTTATGATCGGACAAACAAACAGACAAACAGAGATTACAACTTTAAATATATATAGATATAGATACTTTCTAAGCTGCAGGTGCTCTGTATTACTTTACGCTCTCTAAACCATGGGTGCTGCCCAATCGCTTAAGAAATCTTTCTCACACACTTCCAAAGTTGGGGGTTGATCATTTTTTTTTTGAAATTCTTTATTTTGTGGCAATCTTTACTTTTAAAATCTTGTTGTCAACCATATTTAATCTTGTTGAAAACAAAGTCCCCAAAAATCCGCCTAATGCCCTCCGGCGCGTGGTTTCCCGCCATATTATAACAACGGCCTTGTCTGGGTTTAAAAATTAAAGACCAACTCGGTCTCTCTCCAGGCTTTCATGCTCAATTCAGGCAGTAGGGCAAGTTTACAGGTGGAAGGCCAGGGGTGGGGGGGGGGATGTCAATGATCTTATCATGTTTTATAACATCTACAGAATTTTCTTCGGCTTAAAAAACCTTATCAAAACCGTTTAATTTTTCTTTTTAAAAATAAACGGTTTAATGTTAATTATTTTGTTCTTAAAATTTGACTCGGTTCTTTGAGTTAAATAATTCTGAGTAATTTCAACGTGAGACATGAACGAGATGAGCTGAGTCAAATTATCAGATGTCAATGACTCATCGCTGTTACTATAGAGACGCTTTTTTATGCGTCACATTAGTACTTAGACTTTGTGCTACAGGCTGCATGTGTCAGATGTGCGTAAGACAGGTGCTTTTTTTGAGTCATAGTTTTCTGTGCAGTTACTACTTACGTACGCATTAATACGCACAGGGATATCTTCAGTTAAAAATACATGTAATAAAAAATTATTTTGATTTTAATAATAAAATAGGTCAACAATTTTATGTTATCAAGCCAGGACGCTAAGGGCGGTTTTAGGATTTCAGATGGGGATGGTAAAAAATATACTCGTGCGAAGCGCGAAATCTTTTTTCACTCCCCCTCCTATATTAATTTTATTTACCTAAAAACAATATTTAAAAAAAACATTATTGATTGTATTTTATACATAAAGTACGTATCATATCATATTATAATGTAGGAAGAAATATTATTTATTTCCTGCCATTATTCTTGCTAATTTTCTTTATTCCAGTTTTCTTGGTCCGTTTGAAATAAAGGCATTTAAAACATTTAAAACTTAATTATTTATATACATATTTAAATACAAATTATAGTTTAAATGAGAAATGAC